AGGCAAAGATACAATCTGGCTTAAGACTCACAGTTGCTCCCAGCATTACCAGGAGCAGTGGCAGGCTTCATTATATAATATTTAGTAGTGATTTTTAAATATTTTGCGAATTCATCATCTTTTAAAAACATACAAAAGGGGGGAAATTGTTTAAAAAGCACACCAGGAAAAAGTGAGGCACATTTATTACTTTTTCTTGGTGTAAGTGTACATGATGATTCCATAAATTACTGATAAGCCTCAGTCACATTTCTAACTTCTAAGTGTATTTGCTAAAAACCCTAGATTTCAAAATACTTGAAAGTGTGGGCAATGTCTTCCTCATCTCTATCCCAAAGTGCTTCCAGGTGGGTCCTCAGCAGGTATTAAAATGGATTGAGAGTGCTCAGGTGCTGAGTGGGTCCAGGCCGGAGAGACCCACATACCTATGGGGAGAGCGCTGGGGGAGAGCAGCTGATTTTTCTGTTTTGATAAACCTTCATTTCCCTCTCTCAAAGCTGGGGAGATTATCTCCAGAGGGGGGCAGCTGTCTTTGCCGGGCCTGGGGCTCCAGCCCTGGTGAGGTCCCTGGCTTTTAGTGTATTTGAATCAAGCTTGTATATTACTGCTAAGGGTACTATTTTTAATTGATGTATGTGTATGGTTTTGTGCACCCCTAGAGTTGATGTGTCCCAATCAGAGTTCATACTCTAGAAAAGTAAGCTAAAATTGTCTTTAAACTATCAGAACAATGTCATGGTTCAAGTCAACTATACACCCTTGTCAAGCAAAAAATAGAAAAAGATGTTTTTAATGACTGTTATTTGTTCTTAGCCTTTATTTTTTAAAAGGATGTTATTGTAGCATCCTTGTTAAAGCTTAGCTTTTCAAAATTATATACATCATTTTTTTTGGTTTTGTAAATATAAACTAGTAGTGTGTGGGGGGAGGGAAAGCATTATTCTTTATCTGAATAGTTTTGCTAACTTGAAAAGAAAAACTGTTTGACCTATGAGACCACCAGTCTAACTGTAGTAACCAACATAGATGTTTTTAAATTCAGCTAAGATTTCTGACATGAATTGCATATTTGCATTGGATCTCGTTTGTCACAAAGCAATGACTGGAGTGGATTAAGATGTGGTATACATTCCAAAACGGAGTAGTACTCAGCCATGAACATGTGAACTCTATTTGTAGTGACGGATAGCATCAGAGGACATTGTGCTAAGGGAAATAACCCAGAAAAGATAAGTATCCAATGGTTGCTTACCAAAACAAGCCCTAGAAGTCTGACTGTAGAAATTATCTACTTTAAATTTATTCCTATTATTCACATCTCTGTTTTGGCTTTTTAAAGTGATCACAATCTTTTGAGTTTTTTTAGCTGCCTTAGTTTGTAACTTTGTTTCATATCTTCTATACCTGAGTGGATTGTTACCTAGGGAGGAGAGCATGAGAACATTAAAATGGGAGCTAACAAGTTAACTCTGTGCTTTAACAGCAGAAGTTTGGTTGCAGAAACGAGGGGTCAGAAAAATACTACCAAGTCTTCAAATGGTGCTGTGTACCATCTCTGACAAATCACTTAAATTCTAGATAGCTGTTTCCCCTTTACTAATGAGAATTAGACTAGCAGTTGGGAAAGCTTAGGAATGATGTATTAACTGGTCAGTTAAGTGTCAATGAGTAAATGTGTAACAAGCTGTTTAATGGTTGTAATAACAGGAGGATTTGCACTCAGATGTGAATTAAAACTGTTAGCTGAGGCTTGGGATTCCACCTGTATTACTTACGTAGTGACGTCTTAAGTTTCTATGAATCAGGAGACTCTAGAGTAGTACTGTCTGTTTCATTGTATGTGACTTTCACAAATGTTCGTGAAAATTTTGAGCAGCTATGTATTCAGAACTTTGCTTATCTCTAGAGATAAGAATGTTAACATCCTTCATGTCTTGAAAGGCTATCGGACATGAAACAGTAGTACAGAACCCGGAATAATTTACGAGTGCAGTAAGTCTTACTGAGTACAAAGATTATGTTCAGAGGTGTCGGGATTTGCACCAGGCTTGGAAGGATGCAGGGGCACTCCCGAGATGGGAGAAGATGGGCTCGTGCTCCATCAGAATGTGGAAGCCTCCAGTCTGCCTAACAGAGCGTGTGTGTTAGGGGATGTTGCCTAGAAATCTGACCAGCCTAACGTAAATCCCAGTAAGCCAACTTTTCCATTAATGCACAACCTTTGAGAACTCCGTGGACTCCTAGGAAGTATTTTTCTTCTTCTAGTGACTGTGTCATCTCGTAGGTGAGCTGAAGTGCAAGCCCAAGGACTGTGTTCCAATCCCTGTTGGGCTCCTGTGCTTGAACTTAACAGAGACTTTCACTGCAAGGGTACCGACCTCACTGTTATGAAACACAAGAATATACATGTGAACAAGCCTAGAACACGGTATCATCCACGTATTTAGCTCCTGTCTCCTGGTAGGGAAAAGGACAAGTTAAAAGGAGTGAGTCCTGCAGGCTCACCAGGCTGAATGTGTGATACACTGCTGAAATCCACCTGCACACTGGGCTTTGCCCCATGATAGGAGACATCTCTAGCACCAAGCTCGCCCGGTACTGTTTTTAGTGAGATGGAAGCTAACTTTTCAGGCTGGGAAGTGCTCTGTCCACTCAGATGTTTAGAGGGCCAAATGATAAAACTTGAATTTTTCTTTTATAAGGTTGGAAATTTCTTTGAAAGTAAAACTAAAATGCTTTACACTTTCTTTTCCAGCATGCTCCAAATGAAAACTGATGAGAAACTGAATTTGTCTGATGGGAACACAGCAAGTTGCCCTTTGAGTCCCATTAAGATGTGCCTTAATCGTCCCATTGAATGGAATCTGGCAGCAGCACCTCTAGCGAGCTGTCCAGTTCATGACCAAAATCTGAAAAGTGAAGAGAAGTAGATCGCAGCTCTTCTTGCACTGCCCTTATTTTGTACATCAATATTCTTTCTGCTGAGTAAGCATTTATCAATGAATCTTGAAATATTTCTAGTCCTGTGACATGTCTATTAAATCATTAGCATTAATCATTTTAATTAGATTCTTTGTATGTTTTTTTTTATTACACCATCATTGTGGAATTTTGCAGTACAAATGGATTTTGATGTTCTTTTTAATGGTATTTTGTGATTTTTTTTTATTCCCTAAGTTTAAATACACTATTGTCCCAAAATTTATTTCTGTGCACAAAGTTTTAATATATAATGCATTAGTAATTTAGGTTAACATTGTAAAGGTTTGTGATGATGACCTGCCCCATGAACAGCTGTATAACCGGTGGATACCAACTACCTCGATGCAAGCTAGCAAAAGGCAAAGGTATCTCTTGGTAGTATCTTTCAAAGTTATATATGTATAGAAAAATTGATCATCGTTTATCAAGTAGCATGTTCCATTCATAGGAGAATTTGAGCTGCTCAGTTCTCTTTTTCTGTACTTTTCAGCCTATAAAGTCTGTAGATTTTAAGAGCAATGGCACAATAGCATGTTTACTCTAGCAAATCTGTGCCTATGACAGACAAGAATACTGTTGGGTTTTGTAAGTTATCAGTTTGAATGAAAAAATGGTAAATGGATTTAGTGATTGGCTTTACTGTACTTTAGCCATTTATATTGAAGTGTAAAGGGATGTCTTTCAAAAACAGAGTATTCCTTACCTTTAATGGTGCAAAGTATAACTTCAGCAGTGGCTGCTGTGATTGTCAGTAAAACTTCAGTAGTGAAACTAAAGGTTTGGTGCTTAAATTCCCCCCTGCCACAGGAAGCCCCAGTTTGGTGACCCATGTGTGTACGAACACGGCTCCTTCCTGTGGACGGCCTGGCTAAGGGTACATGGGATTGGAGTTTCTAAAGACTTCCCTGTAGCACATTTTGTATATCTTTTAAATTATTTGTTTACCCCTTCCCCCCAATTTTTTTTTAATGACAGGGATATGACAAAAGAAAACTTGCGTAAAGAATTTGAAGCACAGGAAAAGACACAGAGCCAACAAATGGAAAACAATCATCTATTTGTCCTTTATATTACACCATATCTGCCTTTTCCTTTTGCTTACTAAGCATTCTTTGTAACGTTCAGACTCCTTTTATATTTCTGAGTTTTATAAAGCACATATATGCATGTAATATAGCAATTTGGTTCTAAAAAGCACAACAATCTTAACTTTAGCTCCGTATTAGAGCATCACCTTAAATACACGGTCTCTGGCAAATAAACCTAAAAAAGCACAATTAAAATAGATCCAATATGAGAACATTTCTCTTCTGAACACTACAGAGAAGAAAAAAGTAATAAAAAAGGGTTTTGTTGGGTGTTGTAGAGGAGAGAGAACTGATTTCACAGTCTGTTACAAAAGTCAAATGAAATCGACAGGGAAGAGTGTTCATGACTTAGTAAAGAAAACTTCCTGTCACATTCTTTCCCCACTATTACTATCTACAATAAATATGAACGATGTGCCAAAAAACAAAGCCTTAACCCAGGAAACATGACAAACTCAAGCAAACTTGGGTCATCAGATGCAGGTGTTTTAGGGTGAGAAACTACCCACGCTGGTGATCACCACAATTACAAGCACTGAGCCTGGACACTGGCACTTTGGCTCCGTGTCCTCTTCCCAGGAAGTGGTAAGCCTCTTTCTGGCCAGTTTGTGGCACTTCTCTTACCATTAAAATACCTGTTTTTAAGTGAGATCTGAGGTGCTTTTATCTATGTTGGTTCTGCCACCAGTCATAAGCTTCCCAATGCAAGCTACGAGCTAGACTTACAAGTTGTCCATAGTGACATTATCTTAAATAATACGATTATCTTAAGAAGCATCACTTGGGAAGCTGGTGAAAAAGCAGGCTCCTATACCCACCTCAGATTCTGATTAAATCTGCGATTGGTGAAGATGGTGTCCTGATGCTTCAGTCCAGCAAAGTAACTGGGACCCACATGCACAAAGTCCCATCAGACATCAGACTTCTCCCGAGTTTGACACAAGGGTAACTTTATTGAAGCAAGAACCAAACACAATTTTAAAGGACATTTGAAAAAGGACTCCACACCTCCATCTCTTCTCCTAACTTACATCTTCATTGAGAAACTGAGCAAGGTTAAGTTTACTTTTTTCTAGTGCTGCTGTTTTGGCTCGTCTTGGTAATCTCATCTTCATTTCCGATTCTGGCTCTGGAACATCATGATCACTAAATAGGTGTTGAAATACACCAAATTAAATGCAAGCTTTAAAACCACATTTTATTTATAAATAAAACATTGTTTTGTTTCTGTCATTCTATCACTGTATAATTATGATACCATTAACTAAGCTTAAAACTGAAATCTCAAAACCAAAAAGAATGAACTATAGGAAACCTAACTGATTATTTTTTATGTCTAAGGAACCAAGTATACAGGGTGGGGGGGGATTTATTTTTTTTAGAGAAACATTTACAGTGAAGCTTGTAATTAAACCATAAGAACAGTCCAACAGAGGTTTTAGGGGAATTCAAGAAGTGAAAAAGAGATGTGTTCTCAGTCCTAGGCAATAAGTTCCTAAAACAATGTAAACAGCAGGTTTCCCCAAAAGACTGTTTAAATTTAGTCAAACATAATGTAAAATAGTATACAAGAAAACATACCTTATAACCTTACAGTTCTACCAATATAACTACAAAGCCTCCAACAAATGGCTTAGTTGGCAGAAACGAAAAACACTTTATCATCATTACTATGTCCAAGTTGTAGGCAAAACTATGTTATCATTATAAATGTAGAGAACCCAAACCTAAATTTCAGGGTTTTGCTAATTCAAGATCAGAAGTCACAGACACATGCCATGTCATTGGATTATACGTGGAAATCAAAGCTCAAAGAACATACTACCTGGTGCTGAGGGCCATGCCAACAGCAGGAATGCACAGAAGCACAGGAAGTCAGTGCTCTTAATGATGGATTTTAAATATCTAAGACATAGCTGTTCATAGTTTCATTCCCTTGTTATATGTTTAGTTTCTCTCTTATACAATAGAAATAAAGTACATTTTCTACTTCTAGACATTAAAGTAATAAGTAAATGAAGCTAGTGCTCTCTTCTAGACGTGCATGGCATACCTTTCAGAGTCAGCCTCAGTAGTCTGACGTCTCCTGTTCTTCCTAGCTGAAGCTGCTACCTTTCTCCGCCCTTAAAGATAGGATAATTATCAAAATGTATAATCAACTGCTTATTCTTTTAATCTAGTTACTGAGCTGCCCTGACCCTCCAGTTCCTTCCTTCAATGTATTTCCTCCTTGTTCCCATACACCTTGATACCATTTATCAAGATCACAAAGAAAAGAAATCCAAATGATTAAAATTAATTTCCTTTGTAAACTCTTAGGATGGGCAAGGGAAAATATGGAAATTAGGTTATGAGGCAAATTCTAAAAGCACTTGGGAGACAGAAGCATGTGAAAAACAAAAACAAAAACAAAAAAAATTAGGATTATTCCGCAACGTGTATGAAGACTATTAATAAAGATTAATGTTTTAGAAAGTTCATACATACAGGTCCTAATAAAACAATTTTAATCAGTAAGTTAAATGCATGGTTCCTATAAATTTTCAAACATAGACATGACCAACTCAAATGTGTCCTAAACCATATTTCAGTATAAAAATTAAGAGTCTATATGCTGGGAATTGTAAAAATTCTATCTGCCTGCTAAAAATTTAGCCTGTGATGCTACTCATTTGTAATAAAAAAAAATAAATAAAGTGAAATTTGAGCTATTTAAAAAAAAAGTGGCACTCATGGTCTATTATGTGACTAGAAGCAGTATGAGCAAAAATTGCTTGGTCTAGCCATTTGGTTGAAAAAGTGTATACACTACTTATTCATGTGACACTTTTATCTTTTCAAAAGCACGTATTTAATTTTAAACTTCTAATGTAGTTTCCCCAAGAAAACATCCAACATTATGGGACTAATTTGGAACAATATCCAGCAACTTGTATTTAAATAATTAATTGAATACAAAACATTATTAGGCCATACGCCATTTAGAAAATTAAATCTGCATAGGAAAGGGACTCAAAAAATTCTTTTCAAGGATTAAAATAATGGTTGGCTCATGGGTGGGATTTTTAGTGTTCTTTATATTAGTTTGCTTGAATGTATTTTTTTTTTATTCTGTAATAAGCATGCATTGCTTTTGTAATAAGAAAACAATAAAACAATAAAAAGATCTCGAATTTCAATTTTTTACCCAAGTGATCCCCTAACAGTCAATACTCCAACAAATCCTTTATTGTTGGATTTCCCTTGGGAAATGAATTATGTCGGGAAAATATGAAATAAGAGAAAAGGAAAACAAAAGCCCATAAAAATGAAAGCAACAAAATGCTTAATAATACAAAGGATCAAATACAAACTAATATAAATTCATTGATCATGATAACAAGTATGTGAACCCAAACAATCCTTTGCAATGTTAATTTGAATCATTTACTTTCAAACAAAAGCACTGAAAGGAACACTAATATTGATACAATCTTTTACAAATAAAGCAAAATCTAGTATCAGCCCAAAGATTTAAGAACCTTAAGGATAACTAAAATATTTAAAATGCTTTATTCCTAAGGAAACAAAGATAAGGAAACTTACAAAGTAATTATTTGATTGGAAAAGTAAAAGTCGAGTTTTATTATCAAACTTGTCAATCCATACATTACCTCTGTTAGTCTTTTGCTGAGTAGATTTCGATGCTTGGGTTGTTTTTATATTCCTGAAAGGAGTCATATATGCTTCTTTATTCTTTTCTATTAAAGAAAGTAATGCAATGTAAATAAAAATTAGCCTCATAAAAAATTTTGAATGACCTTCTTTCTCAGTCAGTTTCTCATAAAACAGAAATGATAACCAGTCTGATTAGCAGCTACTGAAAGGTTACCAGGAGTCAGTGTTTCAAAAAATGTGAACATTTGGCAAATAAACAGAATTCCTAAGAATTCAATATACAAGGTCATATGGCAGGGAAAAAAAAAAAAAAACCACACACACCAAAGAACTAGAAAAGTGAACACTCATCATAGTATGCTTTCCCAAGAGGAAAGCACTTTGCTATCTAACCACATGTAAAAGGAGAAATAAATGTCTCATAAAGAAAAGGACAGCATCTTAGAAATATCCATGTAGCATGTATTACCATCTTCATTCTGAGGAACAGTGACATTGGTACTGGCGTCTTCTCCGGCTACAGTTTGATCACCACATTCTGTACTTCCTTTTTCTAACTGAATCTTGATTTTCTCTAGAGCTCTCAGACATGTCCTATCTTTTACTTGCTATAAGAGAAAACATTGGCATTTTGTTAAAATGTAGCATTTTAGGGCCCTCCCTGGTGGCGCAGCGGGTTAAAGCACTGCATTGAGAAGCTAAAGCCACTTCCTCATGAGTTCGATGCCCGCCCCGGAGGTGACCACATGGCGTGGTAACCTCTCCTGACCCGCCCGCTGCTCGCCTCAGCAGTGTACTTTGCCAATCTGCCTGTTCTGCTCCCCACTCTGTCTCTGGTGAAGCCTCTCGCCACCCCTGAGCCTCTGGTCTGTATCCCAGTTCTGTATGTACAAATAAATAAATCTTTAAAAAAAAATAAAATAAATAAAATGTAGCATTTTATAATGTTTAAAAAACTATCCCCTGGTAGGTCGTTTGAAAACATTAAGAACCTGTGAAATTTAGTGATGTAAGTATTCAAATAAGTGAAATCACAATATACTAAGATATGATTGAATACAACCACTTAAATCCTGCTTGGATAAATATATGTGTTAATTAAGAGTAATTAGGAACTTCTTACCTCCAGAATCTCATTTAATAGAACCAGAAGATCATTCGCAAGACTGCTACTGAGCTCTAAAGAATTCAAAGCCTTTGTATACACCCGAATTTCTGGAGAACATGGACATGTTAAGATCTCATTGCAAATTTTTATAGCCAAATTGTCATGAACTGTTAAGGCCTTAAAAAGAAAAAAATCAAGAAAAAAGTATTCATAAATAGAAAATTAATTACAATAAAATTCACATCTGTATACAAATGCAGCAAACATCTCTGTCTTGCCAGAATTCCTAATGCAAAATGTCTAAAACCAAACCTAACATATTCCTTCTCCAAATGAGCTTCCACTTAACTAGTCTGTGGTGGACAGTGAGATGTGGTACAGAGCTCGGACCTGCCCCCTTTAGCCATGAAGCATTTGCTCACCCTCCAGCTGTTCGCTCACCCTCCAGCTGTTCATTCACCCTCCAGCTGCTCAGTGTTTCTGGAGGTTAAAGTTCCCAGGTCAGGACTGACCCAGGTTGAAGACAGCTTCTCGTTCGACAAGTTTTATCTGCTAACTATACAGGTTTGTAATGGCTCTTACAATTGATACCCTTTCTCCTCTTAATAATTCACCTTCTCTGCCCACCAAAGTAATTTTCCTTATAAGTAACTTTCAGCCCATTAACCCTCATTAGGCCCATTACACAGCCTGTCTAGACACTGCCAATAAGGCCAACCCCAAATTCCCTACCCTAGTATTCTGTGTGAATACTAGTCAGAATGATCTTTCCATAGTCCCCCAATGACTTATACAACCAGCTACATTTAATCACATGACTTCAAGTAAAAGACTTTCTACCAAACCACTCCTTAAATCTAACAAGACATAATTAAACTACTGAGTTGTGAAACTAGCAATGCTATTCTCGGGACCTCTATGACATAAACCTTGCCATCTTCTACAGGCCTCACACTCTGTGACTCTATCCCCAGCCCTTACTATGCTGTGCCTTTACTCGCCTTTCACCTCATCTTCCCCACCACAGATAACTAGTCACCTGAATGGAGTGTGCAGTCACTAAACACCAGTCTGGGAAGAGCAGTACTTCACCTTAATCAGACACTGAAACCATGAATAGCCTATTATTGTTCAACATTGTGATAAGTTCGATGAAGTGAGATTAAAGAATTAAAAATCCAGTTTAAGGTTAAGTTGTGGGACGGTTTGAAGCTATCTTCTTAGAATTAAAAACAAAGACAAGCTGGAGGCCATTTTCAGTCTTTGAATTCTCCTTCCTTTTATCAGGAAAATTGCAGGTAAGAATCTATTGAAAACTCAGTGAGTCCAACAGGTAACACAAGACATTATTCAGAATGGTTAACCAATCAGTGGGGATGAGGAAGTAAGAATGATGAATTTTTGGTAACTTCTTTCAAATACCAAAAATATTAGTATTGATTAATTTTATTTTTTATGCTTATCTCCACATTTCCCAAAATCTTTTTTTTTACTTTGTGTTAAGCACCACCAGAGAGACTAGAAATCCAAGATCAAAGTGTAGCTTTTATTTCAAAAAACCTTTGAGAGTGAATATTCTGCTACAACAAGAGTAGTTAATATTCATCCTCACCATCCACAGGCTAACACGTACCCACCTGGTAATCCTGGGAATTCTTGGCCTTAGGATTTAATCCACTTGGTCTTGTTAAGTCTACAAGTAACTCAGCAACATTGGTGATATCTATTTCAGCTAAAGGTGAAGATGCAGGAGCTTTGGCAAGTGTTTGTAGAGTTGGAAGAAAGGCTTCTTCAAAGCATTCCTGATTCGCCCTATTGAGAAAAGATTTCAAAGTATGATAGCAAAGAATAAAACATGATTGAAAAAAATTATAAAATTCAATCAAGACAGTAAAGTTTCATTTAAGAGCCCAATGAGTCATGTAGGTAAAAAATCCAAAAAAATTCTTTATAGCTCATCACTTACCAATGAAGAAAAAAAAATCATGAAAATATTATAACTCACAGGGAGCCTGACTGTAACATCAAGCCAAAGCTCATTCTGTTAAGCTGACGAAGTACCTGCTCGCATAAGCAAACACGGGGAAGAACACGCCCAGGCAGTGTCGCAGCCGAACGTCGTCCTCAGTGACAGGATTGTACCACAGCAAGACAAGTCGGGAGAGAATTGTGCTGCTGGCCAGAAGTCCAGAGAACATCAGCTTGGCCAGGCCTTCCGCAGCTCCAGTCCTGAGCTCAGACACCTAATAAACACCACTCACATTAGAAGAAATTTGCATTTTTTAAAAAGCCTAACATTGTAGCATGTCTTGCAATATTTCTCTACAAAAACTAAGCAAAATCACTCATTATTTATTGGTTTGTTAAAGGTAAATTTGAAGATTTTGTTTCTCACTTCTAGGTCAAAGCTGACAAGTTATTAGCAATGCTATGAAAACTCCAATTCCCTTAAAATTCTTTTTTTTTTTCAACTTTTGCATAGAAAAACAGGTTATAGTAATCCACCTGAAGTTAAATGGTGGGACTTTCAATTGGGACAGGACTACAAGTCTTTAGACCATGTAAAAAGATTGTTATTTAAGACATTACAAAAAACAGACAGCCCACTAATTGGGAAAACATTTTCTCACACAAAAGTAGTGATAAAGGGCTGATCACAAAAATATACAGAGAACTGATGAAACTCAACAAAAATAAAGTAAACAACCCCATCAAAAAATGGGCAGAAGAGCTAAAAAGGCACTTCTTCAAAGAGGAAATGCAGATGGCCAACAAGCATATGAAAAAATTTCAACATCACTCATAATAAGGGAGATGCAAATTGAAACCACAATGAGATATCACCTCACCCCAGTGAGAATGGCACATCTTCAAACAACTAGCAACAACAAATGTTGGCGAGGATGTGGAGAGAAAGGAACTCTCCTGCACTGCTGGTGGGAATGCAAACTAGTACAACCACTATGGAAAACTGTGAATTGCCTTTTATTTCAGCCTCTCACTTTCAGCTTTTTTGTGTATTTGGTTCTAACATGAGGCCCTTCCAAACAAGGTAGTCAGGCTCGGTTTTTCTTTATTATGCCAATTTCTGTCTTTTGACTAGAAAATTCACTACATCCACATTAGAAGTTAATGAAAAGAGTAAACTTACTTCTACCGTTCTTTAGTCAAACTGTGGTAAGTCAATAACTGTTAGGGGTGATTTCAGCATCATGCAGCTGAAGACACATCCTCTATTACTCCCTTAAGCCTACCAGTCATAGTTCAACTATGGATAAGCAAGGTTTCTTCTGCTTATTACTTCAGGACATCAATCTGTGAGGGAAAGCGGTGGTGCGGGACTGGTAGAGGAGGGAGACTAGTGAGTACAGAGCAGAGCTACCAGCTAACCAGGGGAGGGACAGCAGAGACAGTGTGGAGGCCTGTGCCCCTGGCACGGGTGAGTCCCAAAGCGGGGGAATTGGGGTGTATCACATGGCCTGGGACCCCTGCAAGGAAGGCAACAGAGAAATAGCTTTTGACTGAAATCCCTCCCCCGCCCTAATCCTGGCTCACCAGAGAGATGATCCCAGAAAGGTGGAATAATACTGAGCCACACACAAGAACCATTTGCCCTGAGTCAGTCCGTGGACAGGCTGACCACCTTGCACCCTCCCTTCCCTACTAACAGCCAAAGCTAGACGGCCAAATGTGGCCACCTACAGCATTCAGAGGAGCCATAAAGCCATTACTCCACCTACTGGCAACAAAAATAGCTAATTATTAAGATGCTGATCTAGGTTTTAAATAAAATAACCAAAAAATGTAAAAGGTGGTAGACAAGTCAATATACAGCAGGTATATACTAAAATCAACTCAACACTTCTAGATCTGACCCAGACAGAATGAGAACTCTTCAGAAGCCAAACCTACAGTCATCGAGATAACAGCGAGAAAACTCACAACAGAGATCATAAAGAAACAACACTACGTAAAATATATGGAGAATCTCAAGGAAGTTAAAAGCAGAACTGCCCTATGACGTAACAATCCAACTTCTGGATAGAAAGCCAAGAAAATACAAGGGAATAAAAAAGATGAACACGTGCAAGAGAGAAGGAAACCCCGCCATTAGCAACAGCATGGACAGCCCGGGGCCTGGTGCTAAATAAGCCCAGCGCAGGAAGACAGTACAGCTCAGTGTCACTTGCGTGTTGAATGGCAGCAAGAAGTCAGACTCCCAGACACACAGAAAAGTGACTGTCAGGAATGGCGGCTAAAGGATCAGGGGATAACTTGTGACTGCAGAAAGCAGTGGTGGGAAAATAGGGGGAAAATGAAAGAGCACAGACTTTCAGCTATAAGGCAGAAAAAGTTGAGCTCTAATATAAGACATGGTGACTACAGTTGACAGCAATATATAAGTTTGCTATGAGTGAAATGTAAGTGCTGTCACTTGAAAAAAAAAAATGTATGTGCTGTGCTGGATAAGCTAACGAGCTGTGAGGAAGAATTCTCAAAAAATAAATAAATAAATTACCATGTGACCCATTAATCCCACTTTTGGAATCGTACCCAGAAGAACTGACCTGGTCACTCAAACAAATGCATGTTCACAGCAGAACTATTCACAACAGCTGAAAAGTAGAAAGAGCCTAAATACCTTCCACTGAATGAAATGGATGTACAAATGCTGCATATACAAAAATGGGGACTGTTCATCTGTAAGTAGGAACTGACGCCAGCTACAACTTTGAGGAGTCTTGAAAATAAAGTTAATGAAAAAAGAGAGGCACAAAGTCACGTGACATATCATTTCATCTGTATTTAATGTCTAAAAGGCTTAAATCCACTGGGACAAAAATGCAAGTTAGCAGTTCTCAGGGACTGACCGGAGGGAAAACTGCAACTGTTAAGTGGGTACAGTTTCCTTTTGGGACAATGATAAAATTTTCAAATTAGTAGCATTATGTTGCGAACATACTAAATGCCAATGAATCACTTAATTTACATTTTTAAACTTAGGGCGATTGCATCTACTTAAAATTATAAAGATATGTTTAGTTTAATGTTTATGTGTTATAAAAATGCTGCTCAAGAGGAACTTAAGGAAATCCAATCTCATATCACTATATTAAATGAACTCAATTTAAAATTATTTCTAACAACTCGGGGAAAAAACCTTTTTAAGTCCCTAAAGCACACCAACAAGGGGAAAGAAGGAAAAATAAGAGCGCTCCTACATTAGTGATTTCATTTTCATTTTTTGTTTGTTTGTTTACACTTCAATTCTCTGCACATGCAACTTGATAGTGAGAAACTAGATACGTCAGAGTGAAACTTGGGATTTAGTTACCACACTCAAAATGCAAATTTTGAAAATGCTGGGCAAGTTTAAACCTCAACACTGAAAGCATAAGAAGCATAAACATCCTTGCTAAAAATGACATTTCATAAGAATATTATTTCTTACCTCACTGTCTAAGAAATCAGAAAGAAGTTTCAAAACATTCTTGGCTGTAGCAGTCTCTTCTTCAGTTTCTTTCGACTCTTGCTCTCCAGAGTTTATTTCTATACCTTCACTTTGAAGGGTTTTGACTTTTCTAGTTTTAAATGGTTCAATCCCAAATGTCATCAGTTGGTCAAAGATCGCCTTTAAAGCACTTATTTTTACTGTCACATCATCAATTTGCAAAACCTAAATTGAAACATTCCCCACCAAAATAAGTAAATTCAGTACACCAGTCACTGTGTTGCATAAAATTAACATGTATCTTAATTTCTTATCTCATTGCAACAGTCCTCATAGCTGTTTTTCAGCAGTATAATTACAATTATTTCCATCTTTTTTTTTGGTCTACAGCATTTTGCTGCATCGCCTTAAGAAGAAACCATCTGTACAGTCAAAAAAATTCCTGGAACTATAGTGAACTGAATTTTATTAGCCTTTTATTTAAAAAAGAATAAATATGTTCAATTGTGATTTTATTTTTTAAGAACTCTGTTCAATTATATTGAAATTGTTTTGATTCCTCTACTAGGACATAAACAGTACATTTCAGCCAGTGAAAACCATACATTAGAACAGCAATATTCTTCTGATTGGCAAGCTTCATTCAAGGCTTTATAAAGCCCAGAAGTTTGCATGAATCTATTCTGAGAAAAGAAAGTTGAATTCCTACATATCAAATTTTCTGTCATTAAAAAAAAAGAAAATATTTTAACATGAAAAAACTTACTATATTCATTAATACACTTAACTTTTGTTCCCTGCTCAACTATGTGGCCATATAGCTTCCTTTAAAATGAATAAAAATCACCAACAAATTAGTCAAATTAGCTAATCAAGAAAATGGCTAAAATTTATAACTTTGAAGGAACTTTCGAAACTTTCATTATCTATAACATGATTTTCTTATGCCAAAATGTGCACATCCACCTAACCTAGAAGCTTTAAGAATGTTCTACTAACCAGTCCCTCCTCCAAATTCTCAACACCCTAATTTAATTTCTCAGTAGCATTTCGCTTTCCTTGCCCTTCTAACCCCTTACCTGCTAGCAATAAGCTCCCAGTACTGGATACTGATTTAACAAAGATTTTAAAATGAAATAGTTTCCCTGTCCTGTCTAAAAAATGTGTAAACATTTCTTAAATCAATTTTTATTGTTAAAACTTAATGAGAGAGAACTGATTTCTTATCCCAAGAAATTCTTATTCCTTTAATCTAAAATTTTCAAATGACAACCCTAAAAATAATTTTCTAAAAATAAATAACTGAATCTAGCCAGTGGTTAGCTTCTTTTATTCATGAACCCATTAGGTCCTAGAGACAGCTTAAAAGTGCACCCCAGAAAATTCCAGAATTAAGCCTATAATAAATACATGCAAAATTTCACACAATTTCATTGTATTTGAATCTGAACTTACCAACACTTTTAATTTACAAAAAATATATATATACCCATTTTTTTCAAGCAAGTATTTAAGCAAGTAATACACATTTCATCTTTAAAGATTATATGCACTTAAATATATCTTGAAATTTATGATATTCCTTTGCTGCAGTACTAGAAAGTTTGTAACTGTCTACTTCCCATAATCTCTACCAATGCTCGACTCGGCCACTTTCCAGCATCACTCGCAATAGTTTATGGAGCATTTTCATGATGTTTTCCTGCATTTTTAGAGTCAAAAGAACTACTTAGTAGTAATCAGAAATGAATGAATGCTTTGATACTGAAATGTTCTTCTACGTAAAATAACCCAATGATCAGGGCTCATTCTAGCACTTCAAGAACATCAGTACACTAGAGACCAGTTCTAATATCTAAGCAAAACCTCTTTGAAATGTAGGGTTTTCAGAAGCCAAATAAACTTCATACTGGCAAGTAAGACTTCCAAATTACTAGAAGAACCCCAGTGTCAATACCTGCTGATATAAAAGTAATGACTATCACACATGGGGATTCATTCTAAGTCTTGGAACAAAGTCATATAGCCAAGCACTATGAGTGGTTCATCTGGACAAAGTCCCAAGACTTCTTCCAGTTTATTTGAGAAAGAAACTTTACACATTTTAAAAATAATACTGACATTCCAAGTTTCCAAAAGGATCTAACAAATAGAAATTTTTCTTTGATAGTAACAGCATGGGATGATAAATATTAACAAGGCAGTGAATCTCATCACCGCACAGTAAATGAATTGATTAGATGCCAAGTCCTTCAAATGAGAAAAACGAAAACAAAATGAGAAAAATGAAAACAAAACCCTGAAATTCCTGATTATTGTTTGACACAAGTATGGTTTTAATTTTATTCTTTTGATAAAAACCTCAAGCATTTTGACCACTTCCAGAACACAAGACACCTCATGTTCCCCCTAACTGTCCACTTTCTTTCTCTGGGCAATGTCATATGCTTGATCAAAGGTGCTATATTCAAGATAAGAGTTTCACGTTGGGGCAAATTAGATTTGAATGGAGTTTAGTCTTTTAAAATATTATTTTTTTTCTAATGAAAATAATGATGCCTGTTGTCATGTTATTTTCAAGTTGAGTGAACATCACCTATCACAACAAATTCCACGGACATCCTCTTGAAACTTAGGTTACACTCCACCTTCAGCAACCATAACACTAGTCTAATGGATCGTGGTCTCTTTCCTGGATCACTGCCTTATGTGTTACAAGTATCCCTGCCTCTATACTTGTACCTACCCCTTAAAACCAGGGGCCTGCAAACCTAAACTCATGGGCCAAACCCAGCCCGCTTCCTTTTCAGTGAAGGCTCCACGTTAACAACTGTTGTGCCTTTTTAAATGGTATTTAAGAGGTAATATTAAATGTCAGAATGACATGAAATCAATTTCAGTGTCCATAAATAAACTTTTACTGTATAGCCACACTTTTCCATTTACGTATTGTCTGTGACTTTGTTCACATGTTAATAGACTCGTAATTGAGCAAGACCACAGAGCCTGAATAATCTAAAATATTTTACACTTTACAGAATGATTTGCCAACCCGTGGCCTATATCAATACTTTACCAGTCAGACAAATCCTATACTCAAAATCTTCCAATTCTTCCCCTCTCTTTTATTGCGAAGGCTACCCAATTTACATCCTATACATTACTAGAAGAAATGCTGTCTTAGTGCCTGTGAATCCTGTCTCTTCCTGCTCTCTGCTCAGTCTGTCCCACCTCTCTCCTCCTGCTTCGGGAACATGTGAAACAAGACCTCCTACCTCAAAACCTCTCCCTGGAAATACATTACCCAGATACCGACATGGTTTATTCTCTTGCTTTTCTCTAGTACTGACCCAACCTCACCTTATTAGTGAGACCTATTTTTTTTTTTTTAAGATTTGTTTGTTTATACATACAGAACTGGGGCACAGGCCAGAGATGGGGCATGGTGAGAGGATTCACCAGAGAGAGCGCGGGGAGCAGAACAGGCAAAACGGATGAAGAACACTGCTGAGGGAAGCAGCAGGTGAAACAGGAGAGGTCTGCTGCGCCCTGTGGTCACCTCCGGGCATTGGCCTCCCACTGAAGCAGCTGCAGGTAACCTCACAGTGCTGCACTCTAGCCCACTGCGCCACAAAGAAGGGCCCCTACTGGGACCTTTCTGGAGCAAACAGCTTCTTTCTCCCTATTCCATTTTCCTGCTTTAATCTTTCCCCCCTCTCTGATGTAGTATGCATTATTTTTCATTGTGTGCTTCCTCTTCTAAAACATAATCTTCGTTAAGACAGAAACTTTTATCTTGCTTTTCTCATGGTCTCTCTTATTTTTTTCTAAGTCTAGAATTAAACTGGCATGTACTATATGTTTAACAAATATCTGCTCTTTACATGCTTACCTTTAAAATATCTAAAATAAGTAACATTTCATTTTACATGAAATCAAGGATAAAACAGCCCTAAAAGTTACCCAAGATCATCATCATCAATAGGCCTGGAGCTAGATTAATTCTGGAGCAGTAGTAGCAGCATGACAGATCAGATACAGGGCATTTATGTCAAGAAGTACAATCATGATTTAGCACAAGAAAAATCCTACCTGCAATAGTAATACGAAGTGTTTACTTGCAAAATCCAGATTCTGTAATCCACAGCATCCCAAGCATAAGACAGCCAGGTTTCTTACTATAGGATGAACGTTCATTATTCCCGGAAGAATCTAAAATGAATTAGAAATTAAAAGAATTTTCAGCAGACAAAAAAATTTACAAGTGTATATGAAAAGCATTGTCAAAATGATGTCTATGCGACTTAGTAGGTTTCTTTTATTTCTATACTGTCTACTATTGTTCAAAGAAAGTCAATCACCAATAAATACAAAAACAACTACTAAGTTGCTAAAAAAGAAAATAGCCAAGGATGAAATATGGTGTGATCATGAGACAGCCCCCTGCACCTGCCCAAACAGACTCAATGGCTTCCACACACTCACAGGACAACAGTCAGACTCCACAACATAACACAGCCCTCATCGTGTCCTCTTCCAGTACGACTTACACCAAGCTACCCTTGCTCTTGGCTTACTAAGTTGGCCTGACCTTCATACCTCCCATTCAGCACTGTCCAATACAAATACTGCAAGTCACGTCTATCATTTTAAATTTTCTAGTAACCAGATAACATGAAAACAAGTGACACTCATTTAAATATATTTTAGTGTACCCAGTAAAGCCAAAAAAATCCAAACCACCCCATCCAAAAAATGGGTAAAAGACCTTAAGAGACACTTCCCCAAAGAATACAACCAGATGGCTAGAAGGCACAAAAGTTCAGCATCACTCATTATCAGGGAAACGCAACTCAAAACCACCATGAAGTATCATCACCTCACCCCTGAGAACAGCCTATTCCAAAAAGACTGAAAACAAGGTTGCAAAAGAGAGGAAAAAGAAACACTCATCCAGGATAGATGGAAATATAACTTGGTACAGCATCTATGGAAACAGTACAGCTTTCCTCCTGCCCCTCAAAAATGGGAATACATATAACCCAGCAATAGCACTGCTAGGCAGTCACCCACAAGTGAAAGCAAATGATTTATATCTTCCTATGTCCACGGCAGAACTAGTCACAACTGCAAAACCATGGAACCAACCTAAATGCCATGGACAGATTGCTGGATAAAGCAATTGCGGAATAGATATGAAGGGAATACTACTCAGCGGTATGAAGAGGGGAGTGAAGAGGCGAGGTGGTAAGGTATTGGCACCAGAGCGTGGGAGGAGGGTGACTGAACCACAAGCACGTATCAAGGTGAGTCACAAATCATCATTATGTAAATAATTGACAAATCAATACAATTTGAGGGGGAAAAATATAAAATATCTCAGTCATCTAAATACTGAGTAGATGATGAAAATGATACTATTGGGCTCTATCAGGTTCAAACATTAAATGAGCTTCATGTTTCTTTGGCCTCGATGGAAAAACTTCTACTTAAATTAGCCAGTTCGGCCCAATTGTTTAGCAGCATCCAGAAGCATCACAGGCAGGAGCCAGTCCAGCGCCATCTTCGTCTCGCCAGCAGGGCTGAGGAGGAAATGAGCGTGGCCACATCCATACTAGCCTGTGAGACTTGTGCTTGCTGGCCTTGCCATGCACCATGAACACAAACGGGTCGCTCCCGTCCACCTCTGTACGGCTAACTCGGCTATGAGGAACGCAGGTAGGGCATGTTTCTCCGGGAGCAGCTCTTCGAGGGCGAGGTCTTCCCTCAGAGCCGCAGCCCGGGGCCTCCAGGCGGTGGGTCGGACAGATCCTACGGGTGTGTGCTTTCAGCACGGCCTTCTTCACCTTAGTGCTTTTGCATTGGCTCCAGTTTTCGGAGAGACAGGGCCTTCCTTCTTCGCTTTTGGCACCATCTTTGTGCAAGATCTTTTTTTTTTTTTCAATGTCGTTTTTTTGTACATGGTATTTGCTTTGTATGTCTAGCAATGTTGTTTTCGAGTCTTGCAGTACTTCTGGTCAGTACAATGGGGATTACTATGAAGGGTTAGTTTGTTAAAAATGCCCTTAAATATTTAGCCACGAACAAATTTTCTCCACAAGACTCACAACTTTCTCAGTCTTTCTCTAAGAGAGTGAGCACGCAAGATTCCAGTGTTTAATACTCCTGATTTGTTTAGTTTTCCTCTTAACTACTCAAGGAGAGAAGATACCTCTTTCCTTCTCAGTAATTCCTTTAAAAGAACAGCAATAACTTATATAACTTTCAGGTCCTTTCATGTATTATCTTCATGAGATGATTATGAAGTAATCGCTTATATTTCTGTTTCTTTTTATCATTTGTATTTATCAAAGTTAAAATAGTTATCTTGTCATTCTTTTGAAACCCAAGGAACATACAGCTCACAAAATGAATAAGGAGAGGGCTGAAATAAAGCGCAAAGATCACCCACATACCAAAGATTCAATGAGGCCATTCATGGTTGCACTTAGGCCTGCTGAAGTGGACATATGCTTCAAGAGTTCATAGCATAAAATCAGGCATTTCTGTAGCGTTTTAGCATCATCCTAAAGTGAAACAGAATAATCAGGCATTAGTAAGAGTGTCTTTTGCCTTTCCCTTAAATGTTTACTTTCGTTATGGTATACTGTCCCTTAGACCTCCCTCCTGAGCAATCTTAGCCAGTCATACAACTCCATTTTCTATCTACGAGCCAGCCCAGCTGTTTTCTAAGTTTTACTGCTACAAAGTATTTCCTCTTATACTTTTCTCAAACTCAAAATCTCTGAAAGGAAACTAACTCATCATTACCCAAATCCCTCCTCTTGTGCTTCCTCCACAAATACCACTCCATAAATACTCCTTCATAAACACCCAGGTGTCTAAATCAAAGACCGCGGATACTTTCTTGCTTCATTCTTCTATTACTAATTCCTATTTATACAAATTTCAAGTGAAAACATTTCTTCCTCTGGTGATGCCAACAGCATTCTGCTGGGGTTAAATGCATTTCACAACACCCCTATCCACTCCTGTCAGCATTCACTATGCTGTTCTACGGTGGCACTCACCCTTAAGTAGGCAAATAAGCACATAGGTCGTGAAAGCAGGTCAAGGGAAGGAGGTACAATTGGCAACATACCACCTGCGCTAGCATTTCCCTAATTCAGACATACAATTTCTATCTTCTTTTTATTTTTTTCAGTTTAAACTTGCTTTTTAAACTTAATAGCCTAAATGAGGCATAGATTTTGCCAAACAAAAGACAAGCTACCAGCTATGAAACTAAAATTCGGGTTGACTGGTTGGAAAGGAGAGGTGTTGGGAGTGGGCATATGTATGGCTAGAGAGCTCAAGGACAAAAGTCATGAAATGCTTCTGTACAGCAAACTTTCCTATCCAGCATTCTCTTTATGAAAACACTAATTATCATTTCAAAGGTAGAATAATGACATATACTACAGAAGGCAAGATCCTAAAAGATCTACTGAATTATACATCATAGAAACGATACCATTCCATCTTAGTTAAAATCAATCAATCAAATATAGGCTGAAATAAAAAAGGAACAAATGAAACAGCTTTAAATGCTGCTAGATGTGAAAGTATATTATTTCACATAAAATAACAAAGCTACTTCACTTTCTCTAAACCAAGAGAATACTTAAATTTTAAACGATACGTATACAATGATTTGGCTACTGACAATTCTTTTCCTGGCAAGTAGGTCATGAGACTTCCACAGATGAGGAATTCATGGATAGACAGATGCTGTCTCCTGGTCTCAACCATATGAGACACCACTCAAAAAGAAACCACTAGAAGGTGAGTCTCCTGGGCAAGCAAGACTTTAAGATTCCAGGAGTTAGAATAACAAAGGAGGAAATAGTCTTCGCTACAATAATTAGTTAATTAAGGCCTTTCAAAGTCCAAAACAGAGAGGAATAGGAGGAAAAAGGAATTTTTCTCATATTAATTCATGGCGCTATTACATAACCCTCCAAAGTAAATATATTCTGGCAGTTTTCTGTGTTAAGAAAGAAAACAAGACTTGAGATGATTAGTTACTTCTGAAATTTAGTATGAAAAAGTAACCTATACCTTCTCTATGTGGACTTCCTTAATTTCAAGTTGTTCTGTCTCTTTCAACAAGCACATTTTGGCATCTTCTAAAGCTTTTATTTCTTCTTTTAATTTGGAGGCTTGAATAAAATCTTGTACGGTAATACAATTTTCCAAAGCTTCTTTTGCTTCAATAAGTTTCACTTTTACTTCAGCCATCTAAGGAAAGATAAATTTTGTAAAGGCCAAGCAAAAACTAATAATATAAAAATCAGTGGCAAACTAAAGAGCATTATTTGAAAGCTCAGTAAAATAAAGGTTTGCAGAACCAGGCAAAAATTAGCCTACCTCACTTGACATTAGTTTTTGCTTTACTGTGTTTCACAAAATATGACATTTTGTTATAATTGTGGGTTTTGGCCAAAAGATGATCAAGGCTCTCACAGTGATCAGCATTTTTTAGCAATGAAATATTTTAAATTAAGGCATATGCAGGACTAGCTATTTAGACATAATGCTCTCTTGCAGCTGAATAGACCACAGATTAGGGCACATATGACTTTCACATGCACGGGAAACAAAATACCTCACGGGATTCATTGCATTGCAGCGTTTGCCTCACTGCAGTGGTCTGGGATGGAATGTCCTCAGGGTGTGCCTATCCAGACCTGGTGTTTGCAAAACACCCACAAATACATACACAAAAATCCCACAAAAACAGTCGTTCTCCTGTAACAGAGACCCAGCCAGCCATACACACTGACACAACCAGGTAACAATTTAGATACTCCCATCATTATTATTTAATCAACAATTTGACCCTAAGGACAATTTTGAAAATGTCCAAAGAGATATAAAAGATGGAACAACATATTATATTCAAGCGTTTCTTTAATTTGGAGGAAATTTACCTTGAGTTCTTTCTTTCTTGCCTCGGCTGGATTGTTAACATCAGCAGTAACAATGGGTGCCCGAATCTCTGAGATAATTTCTGTAACCTGTAAGTTATTCAAAGTATCTTTAACACATGTTGTATATCAGAAAATGACATCAAGCTGCTACATTAAATTCCAAGAAGTTGTCACAATCTGGCAAAATATACAAGGTAAAGTGGCACACATTCTTTTTGCTAGATTATTTTAGGGAAAAAATAACCAAATACATTTGACAAAAAAAAAAATCCTCTTAAATTATGAGAAGATTAACATGTACACATTAAAGGTAAATTACTACTCATATAGTATTTGAAAAAGAGGAAAAAGATGACTGGGTATCTAATTAGGGTCATAAAGCTAAAAACTATGCCTGCAGGCCTCAATTGCCTCTGGTGTCCAGCACCATGAGTCAACTATCTGAACTAGAAAGCTGTTGTATTCTTCCTTTGGAAATACAGAGTGTAAATGACTGCAGGATAACTCAAGTCTTTCCATCTGGGGCCACTGCAACATTGGAGTTAGATCAACCAGGAAGAGGCTGTATCCCAAATGAAGGTAAAACGATGTAGAAAACTATTGAGTATTGTAGAAGGAATTAATGTATAAGACGTTGGGAGGAAAAAAGTGAGTTAATCCACAAAGCCAAGATTCTAAGAATTTATGAAAAGCAATGATGCAGGTCTGTCTGTTTTTGCTAACACTGGAGAAAATAACACATGGAAATAGTAACAGTATAATAAATGACATGTGTTTTTTCATCTACTAAGTACTTTATGAATATTATCTCTTTAAAAAAATGAAAGGCTTCATGATCTTATTTATTTTGCCAAGTAACTTAAGGCTAACTTAAATAACATGTCCAAAGTTAGAGATGACAGAAAGTGTCAGGAGATTTAACTGTCAGCCAGTTCTTAAACAACAGTAACCTCTTTCCTAATTTACTCCATTTCAAATTGATTCAATAAAGATAATTACGCTTAAGAGAAAGAAGATTTTTTTAAAAATGTGCTTGCATAAGAGATTTGGTTTTAAGTTTAAAGCTAAACCATGTAATGAAGAAACAAAACCAAAAGGCAGTAAGAACAGAGAGCAGTATAGAGAAAATACGACTACCCTCAATAAAATTAACCAAAATCACTAATCTTTATCAACAATGAGGAAAATTACTTACAATTTCTGTTCTCTTATTATCATCTGTAATGATGTAGATCAGTCTCTCAACAAGAAAAGAAATTAGTGACATTGAGGTTGTGGGAAGAGTAAGAATCTCCTGCAAAATCGCCAGCAGTCGTTTTCTGTATTCAAAAAGAACTATTTTTATTTAAATGTCACAGCAATAAAGAGAACTTTTTATATCTAACATTTCAACTACTCTTCAGGCTTAATTACATTTATTTCAGTTCTTCTAAATTTATCACCACAAATGCCTGCATATACTTTAGGTCAAACATTCATGTTCAGCAAAAAAAAAATTGCAAAGAACCTAAAATCTTACAGAAAACAACACGATGAAATGACATAACACCAGATGTGAATCAACTCTTTGCAAGTGAATAAACTGCAGAAGTGAAGTAAAACTACAAGATTTTTAAACAAAAATCTATAATTGTATTGGTTTTTATGAAGAAAATGAATTAGAAACTCATAAATCCCATTTTATCTATATATACTTATATAGATATAACAGGAAATTTTATGGCACTTTAAAGAGTTAGATTAAATGCATTTAATCATATAATAATTACTATATTTCAACACATAAATCAGAAGAGCAAATTAGAACAAAGGTTAACAATCAGACATACCTTCCACCTTCTTCATTGGTATCCAAAGACTTGATAATTAGAATCAATTGTTGACCTATGAACTCTTTGGTCATCAAATTTTCAAAGTGGGAAATATCACCTCTTTGTTCATCAGTAACAACCGGAATGCTCTGAATATAACTAAAACAAGCAGCATTAACAAACTGTAATCTCTCAGGTAATATCAAAGAGTTCCCCTGAAGTCAGAAAGGGGTCTTTTTCAGTTCCCATTAATACAAATATGGTTATACCCTGTTATATTAATTTGGTCTACAGAGTTAACTCCATGCTATTGTGATGAAATGTCACAAACAAACTCACTGGGTTAAATCAAAAGAATTTGGAAAATATACTTTCATCAAAGACTTAAATTTCCTAATAGGAAATTTTCAAAAGGTACACCAGTATACCTCTCAAATTGATAATGAATTATTTCAGCGTCACAACTCTCCTCAATGATAAAGTTCTGGACCCTTCTTCTAAAAACCCAATTATTCACAAAGAGCTAGTCTTCTCCCATCACTGTTCTTTCATTTGAAATAATAATATTGTAATAATAGAAATTTCACAAGTAACCCATTAATACAATGACAAAATCAGAATATAGATAGCTTCATGAGTTTGTATAATCCTTGCTTAAGGGCACTACTAATTTCTCTATTATTCTTTTATTTATTTAGTTATTTTTATTTTAAAAACTTATTTATTTATGTTTACAGAACTGGATAAAGGCCAGAGGTGTTGGGGGCTGGGTTGGGGGGTGGTGAGAGGATTTGCCAGAGACAAAGCAGAGAGCAGAACAGGGCGATCTACTGAAACACACTGCTGAGGGGAGCAGAGGGCAGGTCAGGAGAATTCTGCCATGCCATGTGGGCCAGCTCCCTGGTTGGGTATCAAACTTGTGCTGCAGTGGCTTCAAGAGAGCTTCACAGTGCTATACAACTTCTTTAACCCATTGCATTGCACCAAACCAAGGGGAAATATTTACCTTAGTAAATACTCTGTGTAGACTACAGGCTCTGGCAAAATCTGCTCTAAATATTCTTCACCATCATCTCCTTTTGATTTCAAATATTCACAAAGGACACGCCAATACAAAGCAATTTCAGGAGTTAATGTTTCCACTGGAATTAATTTCCTTCATTTAAAAGAGAAAGCATGCTCTAATTATCTAGTTAAAAATCTGAATTGAGTTAAAAATAAAAAAAGGAAACTAACAGACCTTTAATTACAAAATCATTAACTTATCCAACACAAAAAACAGAACACTGAGGCCAGAAGATTCAAATGAGGGTTGCATGTTTTACTTTTCACAGGAGCAAGTGCAAAAATCAAAGTGATATCATCCGCAAAAAAAAAAAAAAAGTAACAAAAGGAAGAAGAGAAGAAGAGCAAAGAAAACCAAAGAACAGGGATAAGTAAAAGAATGATGTAACGGAAAAAGACGACTGACTCGAACTGCAGCATTTCATCAGTTATCGCATTTTGAGTGATGAATACTTTATGTACCTGTCATCATTATTTTTACAGATTTCTGTCAGCTCATTAAGAGGAGTCACTGCAAATAATGCATTGAGAACTGACACTGCCACTTCTGAAGAATTTTCCACATCCAGTCGATGCAGCAACTCTAATATATTTCCTTCAGTGAAACGTAACCAGCCTTGAAGAAGATGTTTCTGCATCGCTTGCTTCACAGCATCTGTTGAATCATTTGAAACAAAAGTGAACTGAGGCTCCCCCTAGTTTCCATTCCCTATATTTTGCCTGTTAATTACATAACGCCACTATTTACAATAGAATTGGGAAGTGATTAAACAGCAGAACAAAATATACTACAGAAAAAATAAACACTAACGGTGCGGCAAAAGTCTTTTGGCTGCTCAATTCCAAACCTACAAAGCAGCAGTGTGCTGGGTTCACGGGCTTCAGGTCTCAGGCTAAACTATGTAGCACCTATTATTTCACTTGTCGCCTGACTTCTAGTACACAGGACTGAGATATGCTGATGTGAGTCACAGAAGCACATCACTAACCACATTTATTCTTAGTTTGTAAAGTGGTCCTATTCATCTATCCTTTGAAACCAATGTTTTCAAACTCAGATTTTCTGGCTACAGCAAAACTGAGTCATCTTAGAATGCTCAAGAAAATTGGAAATTTAAAGTATATTATTCTTCATCATTCCTGCGAGCACATTCTTTAATTTTAACATAGAAAAAGGAAAGATTTTAAAAATAGGAAAGCTATACTGACCTAATATTTCTAACTGCTGTTTCTGATGAACACATTTGTATATACAAAGAAGATACACAACATCTCTCTAAATGGAGGAAAAGAGCACTTTAAAATAAACCCTTATGTATAAAGGACCAGGGGAGAAAATAATAATGATGATGAACAACTATATACCAAAGACATTTTATAGGGGTGGAGTGGGGAGAGGGATCAAAAATGGGGGGTGGGGTACAGAAGTGCACTGGACTATGGTGATGGCGCAAGGGTGATTCGGTGATGGGAAGCCCACGGGGATGATAAAAGGCAGAGAATGACATAAAAATAAACTATTATATTATAAAAAAATAAACCCTTGCCTACTTTACATGTAAATTAATACAATTTTAAGCTACCATTTCTCCTTCTATAAAACAGGAAAGTTGACAAATTCTGTTCCTTTGGAGTATCTAGAGCTGTCAATCCATGGTATTTCTTCTCTATAATATACCAAGATAAATTTCAACAGGCTATATAGAATGATAGGCTTACACAGTCTAATTTAGGACATGTTTCCTAAACCATTTCAGTCTGACCACTAAATCTACTAGTTTTATAATGCTATTTATCTTACCTGATCTGTCATTAAGACCTTGTTGAAGGAGCATTACTCTCTGAGCAATAGACATTGCTCTCATATGAACTTTTTCAGCTAAAATCTTAAAGAGAGAATAAAAAAGATAGTCATCACACTCAATATAGGTTGCAAATTTTAACAATTACAATTATCTCCATAATGCTAAAAAAAAAAACTCCTGAAAATTTAATACCTAGTACACAACTAAAGCAGTAAGATTTTACAAAACTTACCACTATTTCATCAATAAAAATTTCAACTGAATTGGCCCTCCCTGGTGGCGCAGCGGGTTAAAGCACAGCACTAAGAAGCTAAAGCCACTTCCACATGAGTTCAATCCCCGCCTGCCCCAGAGGTGACCACATGGCGCGGCAGACCTCTCCTGACCCGCCCGCTGCTCCCCTCAGCAGTGTACTTCGTCGATCTGCCTGTTCTGCTCCCCACTCTGTCTCTGGTGAAGCCTCTCGCCGCCCCTGAGCCTCTGGCCTGTACCCCATTTTAAATAAATCTTTAAAAAAAAATTTTTTTTTCAACTGAAGAAATCGTTACTATGTGCTAGTTTTCAAAAATCTTTTAAGACTATGGCTTCTTATGTTTTAAGACTATGCCCACACGGGCTAGAGACTTATTTACCTGGTAAGCTTGCTTTCTCACAGCCTCTTTCACATCCTTGGTTCTCCCCACGATTTTTGGCAAAGTCTTGGCTGATGGTCCAATACATGACAACACTGCCCGTCTAACTTCTGGATTTGAATCATTTTCAATCAAAGTAACATACGCTAAAGAGGGAACAATATGTTTTAGAACACCAAAGAAATACTTACTTTACCATATCACAAGATAGCCACATTTTGGTATCTTAAAAATGACAGCAGTATTTGATAGTCTGCCATATATAATTTAGCTAAAGATTTTTCTGCCATTTTCCCTTCAAAGGGACAAATAAAAAACTAGTCAGTGGACAGAGCATGAAGTCTAAAACTGAAAGCAAATAGCCCTGGAGATCTTGGAATACTTTTGTGCACTGTTACTGGAAATATTGTTAAACTGTTTTGTAGATCACATGCACATGATAATGAAGTGCACAGAACCAAACAAATCTACCTATGGATACAGGCCTTAGGAAAATGCTTTAACCTGGTTACTCTTGGTTACTCTATGTACCAGACACCACACATATAAAAAAAAGTCACAGCAACAACACTTTTTTGTTAATAGCACAATAGCTGGAAACTTCCAGAAGGTCCATCAATCTTAGTAATGAACTGTGTTACATTCATATAACATAATGTTACCAAACAGTACACATAATATATCAACAAGGATGAATGTTACATTTAGAAATAAAGTGTAGAGAAAATGATCAAGGGAAAATAGGATCCCAATAACATATGAAAAGACAGGTAACACTTAACACTGTTTATAAATCCAGACAAGTGGGGTAACTGTTGGAACAAAAAAGCCAGAGAATAACCCAAAATTCAGAAAAATCACTGACTCGGAGCGGCATAACTTGTGTGGGACAAGTCAGGCTTCGAAGGTGCCAGTGATACTCTATTTTTTAAAGTTGGGTTGGAGACTTGGAGATTTTTAGTCACACATATATAAAACATACACTCTTCCACATCTACATAGTTCATAATAAATGTGTGCGCTTATTATGGAGGTATCAAAGTCATCAAACTGAAAAAGGATTTAGGAGGTTACACATACCATTAACCACTGGGCAGTCATCATCTTTAGGATCCTGAAGTCTTGAAAGAGCCAAAACTGCCTGTATTCTCACATTGGGAATTTTATCTTTCAATCTAATAAGCATAGCTTCATTAATTTTACCAAACAAATCATCATCAATCTGGGCATTTTCTGGCATACTTCCCAAGAGCTTATTTATGAGCTGGCAAACTCTAAATCTAACTGCATTGCTGTTTGCTTCATGAGACTGAAAGAAAAAAAAAATCAAAATTTATGCATAATCATACCATTATTAAATAATTGCACACATTAGAATACTAGCTTTAGAATTTAAGAAGTTACAGCAATAATTCATTACTTGCAGAGAAACTATAATGCTACCTTCTTCCATAGGCATACTACATTTTCATTATACATAAGTCAAAGAATTTGCTAAATTATAGATCTCTTTGTAGGACCTCTTTCTAAAATAAGAGTTCATTTAAAATAAATGTATGTGAGAAATAGTTTAGAGAAATCATAAAAGTGTAGTACTGGAATTATTTTGAAAGTTCAGCTTTTAGTAATGCTATTTGCTAACTATAATGGATGTGTTGTTTATAAAATATTCCTAAAATTAAAAAAAAATACATTATTGGACCAGGAAAAAAAATAAAGAAAGGAGACCAACTTTATTCTTTATGACAATTTAGTAAGTCCTGTAAAAGTCAAACTCATTCACGGATAATTTGTCAATTAGAAGGGAGTTCCTTCCATGAAATACACAAACTCCGAAGGTCCTTTTAATATAGTAGTATTTTGTATAATACTTGCCCCAAAATCTAGCTTCTTACCTTTAATAAGAAAGTAAACAAATAATTTAAAATCCCACCATCTTCCTCTTCCTCATCATCTTCCATATCTGATTGGTGAAATGAAGTAACAAACTTTGCTGCAAATTCAATGACCCTCTCCACAGCTGGCTCACGTTTATAGACCACCATGGCATATTTAAGGTAATGAATGAACTCCTCATGAAAAATTGTTTTATCATCCATCTGGAAGACAAATAAAACCTTTCACAAACTGCAGTGACAAAATTCCTTATACTCAACATTACTCCTACACCGCTGAAAGCACTAGCCATGAGTCAAACTAAAATTACTATTTACTAAACTCTCAATCATCCCAACCGTCCAAGAGTAAATGTGCACGAATTTCTCTCCAAGGGAATTTCACTTCTCCCGGGCGGAAAACAAAACGTGAGTTTTGACAGCGAAAGGATTCGTCTGATTATTTTTAACACCCTGGAATGCTCAATATCCCTGGGTACCACTTCAATAAAAAAATGGGCTGCTCCATGCACCCAACTGCTTTCCCACTTTGTCACGTTTAAGCCTGCCTCTCCATGGCAATATCTTCTGATTTAACCTTCACAACCTATCCCATACTTTCAATACTTCCTGGGCCTCGAGATTGTTTATTTTCCCGAATTTCTTCTCGTGGCTCCACGCAATACTAAACCAGCAAACAACATCTGCAGAGTAGGGACAGACAGAGCGATGCTGACGGTGGTTGGAGTCCATTGAACCTGGGCGTCAGGTTGGAGCATCAGACAGGTGGGCCGCGTCTCCGGGTGACCCAGGGGATGCAACCTCGGCAGCGCCCCCAGGATCCAGCCTGAGATCCAAGACTCGGTGCCGCGGCGCGAGAAAACGCTTCCCTCCCCGACAGAAATGACGATCGCCGGG